ACTAGAACTGCCGGCATGTGGCCCCTTGCGCGGTGGTCTGCTTTTCTTTGTTTGCCGTCGCCCGGCCAAATGTACCATAGCCTATCTGGCTCGCCTCGTCGTGTGCCGCGCTGCGCCCCTGCCCCCCCCCCCCCCCCCCCCCCCCCCCCCAGCTGCCCCCCCTTGCCTCGGGGAGAGCCCCCTTCGCTAGGCGCGAGGCGGGGGTGGGGTCAATTTCACCTGACACCAGAATTGAGGCCGGCCCTGTGGAGCCCATTTTCACCATGCAGTCGCGGTCGGCCCAGCTGGACCAGGCTCGCTGCGGGCGCACGCCCGTGGGAACATCGGCCCCCCGGTGGGTCTCCGTCCGACCGGGAGGCGGACGTTGCGTCGAGGCGCATGTCCACCCCCCCCGGAACCGTGAGCCTGCGGATTTTCCTCGCTCGCTCAATCGGGCACGCGTCCGGGGCGCCCTTGTGCGCGGCCGGCGCCCGCAGGCCAACGACGTGAGGCCGGGGGCCAGGGCGCAGGACCTGCTTCGGGCCGGATTCGGACACCGAGCCGGAGGGGTGGAGGGGGGGGGGGGAGCTCTCGCCCCTCGCCAGGGGGCGTGTTGTGAAGCTGTCCTCTCCCCCTCCCGTCTGCCCCCCCGCCTGCCCGCCGGCCCGCCCGTATCATGACCTCGACGGGCCGAGGGGGGGAGGGACGGCCCAGACCTGAGGCTGGTCCATTGGCATAGGTGCCCCCCCGGGCCTGCGCCCCGCCCAGCTGGACGCCGTTCGACCATCAAGGCCAATTCCACCCCCCCACCCGAGCAGCGAGCGGGCACATACTTGGGCGTGTACTTGCGCAGGTGTGCGTCCGTGCAGGAGCCTGGCTCCAAACGGCTCCCCCTGGCTCTTCCCCCCACCCCCCCCGGTTGCCCCCACTCGCTCGAGGGCGGGTATCCTCTTTGTGGATTCCAGCCGAGAGTGGCGTAGGGGGTGAGGATGCGAATCTGTATTTCGCGCGGCTTTTCCTGGAATTCGGCTCCCTAGGCGGGCTGATTCGTCCCCAAACTTGGGGGCGGTCGGCCCGCGCACCGGGCCGTGTGGTTGGCCCGAAAAAGGGGCCTGCGCCGACGCACGCGTTCGTGCCCGCCGTCCCCCCCCCCGACATGCTGAGGGCATAATGCGCGCACGGGCACCCGCACCTATACCCGCCTTCCGCGGGAGAGAACGGGGGACGGAGCATGGCAGGGGGGCCTTTGGCCAAGGCCTTGCGTGTGTGTGTGTGTGTGTG